GTTTTTGTTTTTGTTTTTGTTTTTTTTGATTACACATATGAGCAATCTCATATGGTATTTTTCTTTCTCTTTCTGGCTTACTTCACTTAGAATGACATTCTCCAGGGACATCCATGTTGCTGCAAATGGTGTTATGTTGTCATTTTTTATGGCTGAATAGTATCCTCTTCCTTTTGAACCACATGTAACTGAATCTTTTTCTTCATTCACATCTCAACCCAAATGTAATCCTTTCAGAGAGACCCTCCCTGACTTATTTATGTCTCAGATAAGCTAGTCCTCACCCACATCCATAGCATGGGGCAGCTCAATTGGGTCACCTGTTTTATTTCCTTGCTAGCATTTATTGTGGTCTGAAGGGGTATAATCTATTCATCTGTCCTGCTTCTAGAATGTAAGCTCCCTGAGGTCAGAGATTTTTCTACTAATTCATGCCTGCATCCGAACACTTGAAAGTGGTGGTGGTTCATACTGGTGGTGGTGGACTTAGAGGTCTTGGTGGTGGTTGGTAGAGGTGGTGGTAGTGATAGTGTTGGAGATGAAGGTGGTGGTATTGCTGGAGGTGAGGGTGGTGGTGGCAGAGGTGATGGTTGGTGGTGGTGGTAGTGATTGTTGCTGGTAGTGATAGTAGAGGTGGCAGTAGTGGTGATGGTGTTGGTGATTGTGAAGACCATGGTGGTGGTGATGGTGGTCAAGTTGGAGGAGATGGTGCTGTTGGTAATGGGGGTCATACTGGTGTTGATGATCACGAAGACCATGGTGGTGGTGATGGAGGTGGAGGTGATGGTGGTGGTGGTAGTGATGGTTATATTGGTGGTGGTGGTCATGAAGTCCATGGTGATGGGATGTGGTAAGAAAATTAGTAAGAAGCATTCTTCAGTTAGAGGAAAGAGCATTGCAAAGCCTCTGGAGTCAATGATCAATGTAAATTTGTTCAGACTTTTTATCTTTCTTTCAGTTAAAAAAAATTGCTAACTGCATCTGTCACGACTACTTCTATTTTCACGGATGCCTGTTGACAATCTGCAAAGTGCGTTTCTCACCGTGGGCCAGGGGTTTGTGCTAATCCTCATGCTTTCTCTCCACAGTTCCCTCTCCCAGGATGTGTCAGAAAGATTCCCTTGCTGACCTCATGTTCCTGGTAGATGAGTCTCTTGAGACCAGAGAAGATCTCCAGAACCTGCAGAGCTTCCTGAGGCACATCTCCTCCTCCATGGATGTGAAAGAAAACTGCCTGCGGCTTGGCCTGATGAGTTACAGTGACAGAGCCCAGACGATTTCTCTTCTGAAATCAAGCACAACCCAATTGGAATTTCAGAAGCAAATCGAGAAGCTGTCTCTGCGGGCTGGAAAATCCAACGCAGGGGTTGCCCTTGAGAAGCTGAGGGCAGAAGGCTTCTCAGCCTCAAATGGTAGCAGGAGGGCACAGGGAGTGCCTCAGATTGCAGTCCTGGTCACTCACAGACCATCCGATGACCAGGTGCGCGAGGCCGCCCTGACTCTCCGACTGGAGGACACAACTGTGTTTGCCACGGGCATCCAAGGAGCTAACAAGACCCAATTAGAAGAAATAGTGTCTTACCCTCCGGGACAGATGCTCTCCATGCTGAAGTCCTACGCAGACTTGGAAACTTACAGTAAGAACTTCCTGAAAAAGCTCCAGAATGAAATATGGTCCCAAATTTCAACTACTTCTGAACAAGTGGAACTTGATAAAACTGGTATGTTTAAAAAAATACTTTTCTTATTATAAAAGTAATCTGAATAGTTGCCTAGACCCAGTGCAGGAGCAAGGGCTGACTGTAATTGGATTAGGGATTATGGAAGTGTTCTAAGACCAGATTTTGTTTGATGGTTGCACAGTTTCATAAATTTCCTAAAAATTATTGAATGGTTGCAATGAATGAATTTTTTAAGCATGCAAGTCATACCTCAATAAAATGTAAAAAAAAACCATGTTAATTATAAAATAGTTTCATGGTGCTGATGAACATAAAGAAGAAAATAAAATTGCCTGTCATCCTAGCTGTCAGATAAAGCCATTCTTAACATTTATTTCTCTTATCTTTTATTCTCTTCTCTCTTGACACTCATACACACACACACACACACACACACATTTTTTTAAAAAGGATGTAACATTGTGAATATCAGTGCTGTTGAACGGAATTTTCTGCAGTGCTGAAAGTGTTCCTTCTCTTCACTGTCCAGTAAGGCAGCCAAGTATGGTTATTGAGCACCTGAAATGTGGGTAATATAACTGAAGAAATGAGTTTTAAATATAATTTAATTTTAATTTCTCTTTATTAGAATAGCCACAGGCTGGTGGTTGTCATATTGGACAGTGCAGGAAGGCACTGTTAGGTACCTTGTATCAGTCACAATTATAGCTGAGTGTGACTAACAAAAGAAAAAAAAATAACAATGATTTAAACAGGATGAAACCTATTTTTTTTTCTGTTTCACACATAAGTCCTAAGGTAGGTTTAAAAAGCTGGATGATACACCACAGTGTCAGGGACCCTGTCTCTTTCTAAGTTGTTGTATTTTTTTTTGCCTCTGATCTCAGCATCATAATCCAGGATAACTGCTCCTGGCATTACATTCACATCCAGCAACAAGAACAATGGAAGAGAAGGAAAAGGGCAGGTTTCCACCTCCTTTTCTTCAAGGACACTCCTAGGAATTGCATACACCACCTTTGCTGACATCCCATTGGCCAGAACGTAGTCACGTGTCACACCTCATTGTGAAAATGACGGCTAGAAAGTGTAGTGTTTATCTGGGGCAGCCAAGTTCCTAGGCAAATACTGGGGACTAATTGGTATAGAAGGGGAGAATGGATGTTGGGGATAACCAGTACTATATGCCTTCCGCACTCTTCTATGAACCTTATAGAATGAACTTTTGTCTAATTCCTTAAACATTCTTTTGCAACATTTTTTAAAGGTTGGAAATAATATTCCATCTTGTGGATATGACATAATTTGTTTAACGTCTCCTAAATTGTTGGCTGTAGAAACCATTGTCAATGTTTTGCTCTTACAGAAGCCTTGTAGGGATTATCATTGTATTTATATCTTTATCCTCAACCATGATTTTTTCTCACTTCTTAATCTTTTAAAATTATTTTCCTCCATCATTCAAAGGGAGGATATCCTATTTGAGATGCTCTGTGAATCTGCTGTGGTTTTGCTGAGCTCTTCTTAAAGATGTTCAGAGATACTTGCCTAAAAAGACTTGATGTGGCTTTGAATTTATCTAATTTCTGAGATATCTGTTGCCTTCACACATTTCCCTGCAGATAAAATGCTGCCCAACAATTGGGACTCGAATTTGGCAGCATTCACATGGCAGAGAATTATAATCCTCCAATGATATGAAAGTGTTTTTAATGGAGGTACTGGGAATTGAACCCAAAACCTTGTGCGTGCTAAGCACACACTCTACTACTGAGCTCTATACCTACCCTGCTAAGGGTTAATTTTAAATTCAGATTAGTCAGTTGAAGGTTTAAGGGCGCACCCTGGGCCAGCCCTGAATTTCCTCTGGCACATAAACATTGCAAGGCAGCAGCAAGAAACCAGGCCCCTCTTACTTCCTGAGTGATATACAGGAGTCGCCTTGGTCTACTACAAACTTTTAGAGCATAGGAGAGATGTGTAGTGTGATCTGTCTCAGAGAGTTTGCAGTCATGTGACAAAAAGCTATTATTGTTATAGAATTTCTAAATGGGAAGATACAGGACCGAGGCTAGGGCAAGGGCCATCCAAGGGGATGGCTATCTTTCAGAAGATCTTAGTAAGTGACTTCTTGTTAATTCACACATTGGTACCTGAGTTCGATTGAGTTCCTCAGAAATAGATGGTAGATAAGGAGTCATGTGAAATCGATGGATTAGAAATATACGCAGGAAAAACTGGGGGTGGGTAGGGAAGTGAGGATTTGGGAACATGAGGGCAGGACAATAAGGAAACTCTCAGGGAGGGTCAGCTCCACAGAACCAGTCTAGAGACAGCACGGGTGAAACCTTAGAGTCGTCAAGGGGCAATGTAACCAGAGAATTTCTATTCCAGCATACTTGAGGGAATATAAATTTCCAGACACTTCTGGCTCAAGGACCAAGCAGAAGGGTTTCAACAGCTGGAAAGCAGCCCACGTACCAGCAGACACAGGTCCTAGCTGTTGGAATGAGAGCACGGAAACTGGTATACACAAAATAGTAAAGAACTTGAGAGGTTACGGGCAGGGCACCCAAAGCGTCTACTGTGAACTTGTCAGAGTTTGCTGTGGAGCTTGTGAGCAATTCAGTGGCCCAACCCAACGACTCTAGTCTCTGTGGGTAGGGCTTAGGCACTTGCATTTTAGAAAGCTCCCCAATGAACTCGCACTAGGAATACTGGAGAACCACTACTGTAGTGAATTTGCCATGGTCTAGAGTTGGGTGGCCAGCTGTGCAGTTTTAGAGTAGTCAGGCAGAGAGAACTCATCAATATTGACAGTCCCTGAGGTACCCACCACATCTGGCACTAGCAGGCATTCCATTTATTAACTAGAACTTTAATCAGTCCAGGGAAGACTCACATTAACCAAACCGAGGGACTGATGTATAACAAAATGATGGCAATTACCTTTGTAATGGAACTTTTGGTGCTCAGGGGCCTGGACATTCATGTCCTCTGAGAAATATAGTCTCTCCCTGTAGGCATGTAGACCAGTGAGCAGCTAAATTGTCATCCAAAGACTGCTGGATGTTGTAGAATCAGAGCAAGGGAGTTAGTTTTGTGACTGAAATGTCTAGCGATATTTAATCAGGGGAATGTAATTTAATATCAGATATATAGATCTGCATCTCTGCCTCTCTCTTGACGTAACTGTGCAGGTGAGGTCGTGGGCCAGGGGACACATTTTTCTTCAGCACTGTCCAGTTGAACTTTTTTGATGGAAATATTCTATAATTATACCATCCAGAATGTTAGGCACTGGCCACACAGGACTGTTAAGCACCTTGAAATGTGGCTATGACAACTGAAGAGCTTTCTTTTAAATTGTATTTAATTTTAAGCTGCTTGATTTCACATTTTAATAGCAGTGTGTGACTAGTGGCTAGTGTATTGGACCAGCCCGGCTCCAGGTGGGGTTGGATGGGTGTTGCCATGGTTACCCGCTAGGACTCGGGGGTTTTTCTCTCCTTCATTGCTGACCACCATTCTTCCTTCTGAAGAATACCTAATTCTTCTTTATTAGGTGTATAAATCCGTTCATTCTGGCTGCTGTTAAGTTTTGCTGGCCTGGGATCAACCCAGTCTTTTGCAGATCACTGCTTATCTCTGCCCTAATACTTTACATGTTGATTTCATAGTTTAATGCTCAGGTTTACACATATTTCCAAAATTTCTTATTTCTTAAGGACCAACTCACTGTAGCCTACAGGAGTGTCAGTAGCTATAAATCCCCCCCACCCAAAAGCTATCCAGAAAGAAAATAGTTTTGAAGTGACTAAATTGTCCTGTATTTTAAAGATCCTTCAAAATGCAGAATAGATAAACAAGATTATACTGTATAGCACAGGGAAATATATACAAGATCTTACGGTAGCTCACAGAGAAAAAAATGTGACAATGAATTACATATATGTTTATGCATAACTGAGAAATTGTGCTCCACACTGAAATTTGACACAACATTGTAAAATGATTATAAATCAATAAAAAAATGTTAAAAAAAAATAAACATCCTTCCACATCCTCAACCTTTTGTGCACATAACCTAAGTTTTCAAGGCGTGCTGTTTTCTTCTACCCAGTTTCACCGAGGACTCGATAGAGTTGTAAGCAGCCTATTAGGAATGTTAAAGCACTTTCTCACAGAATCTGCTCAGCACAGGAAGGAACACTGAGAGCTTTTTTATTCAACATTTTTTTGTTGAAATCCTGGGATGTACCAGGCCTAATAGGTGGAAGAGGAAAACTAAGTCAAGTCTGCCCTCGTGGAGCTGACGTTCTGTGGCCCATGAACAAATGAATAGGGTATTTCAGAAGGTAATGGGCACCATAAGGAAAACAGATGGGGAGACGAGAGAGACCGTGATTGCTGTGCTTTAGCTGGAAGGGAAGAGAAGGACTTTTTACTGCCATTTGTGTTGGCACATCATTGAGATGAGAATGAATCAGCCATGTGAATATTTGGGGGGTAGAGTATTCCAGGAAAGGGGAGGGCATGTGCAAAAGCCCTGGGGCACGTTTAAAGCAGAGAGAGGAGCCCATGTAGTTGGAACACGGTGAGTAAGATGAAGAACAGCTGGAAACAGGGTCCGAGAGAGAAGCAGGGGGAAAGACCAGGCTGACTTTTCATGTTTAAATTCTAAATGCAGTAATCAATCATTTAAGTCAAAGAGTAATATGGTCTAGTTCTTGTTTTTTTTTATAATTTTGTTATTGAAGTGTAGTTGATTTACAATTGTTTCAGGTGTACAGCAAAGCGATTCAGTTATACATATACATATATATATATTCAGACTCTTTTTCATTATAGGTTATTACAAGATATTGAGTATAGTTCCCTGTGCTGTACAGTAGGACCTTGGTGTTTATTTTATATATAGTAGTTTGTAACTGCTAATCCCAAACTCCTTATTTATCCCTCTCCTCCCTTCCCCTTTGGTAACCATAGTTTTTTTCTATGTCTGTGAATCTATTTTTGGTTTGTAAATAAGGTTTGTATTTTTTTTCTTTTTTAGATTCCACATATAAGTGGTATCATATTTGTCTTTCTCTGTCTGACTCAGTTCACTTAGTATGATAATCTCTAGGTCCATCCATGTTGTTGCAGATGGCATTATTTCACTCTTTTTATAATCTTGTTTTAAATTTATTTTATTGAAGTATACTCAGTTTACAATGTGTCAATTTCTAGTGTATATCATAATGTTTCAGTAGTATGTATATGTATATATGTTTGTTTTCATATTCTTTTTCATTGTAGGTTACTACAAGATATTGAATATAGTTCCCTGTGCTATGCAGAAGAAACTTGTTGTTTATCCAGTTTATATACAGTAGTTAGTATCTGCAAATTTCATACTCCCAATTTATCCCTTCCCACCCTCTTCCCCTGCTGGTAACCATAAGTTTGTTCTCTATATTTCATTCTTTTTACTGCTGAGTAGTATTCCATTGTATAAATATACTACAGCTTCTTTATCCAGTCCTCTGTCAATGGACATTTAGGTTACTTCCTTGTCTTGGCTGCTGTAAATAGCGCTGCCTTGTTCTAGCTTTAAGTATATTGTTCTAGTTGCTCCAGGCAGAAGAGGTTATTGGGGAAATAAGAACAGAAGGTCATCTATCCCATCCTATTTCTTAGGAAATGATAAGGCAGAAACTGTCTGAAAAGGCAGGTGTCAATACTAGAATGATTTTAACTAAGAGCCTGGATACTTGGGAATCTGGTCCTTACCCTATAATTACTGACTGTGTGACCTCAGACAAACCCCTATGTCTCCTTCAGTTTCAATTTCCTCATGAGATTGTAAATTTCAAAGGCGAAAACGGGCATGAACGTGCTTAGGAAAGTGTCCAGGCTTCTGAAGGGTCCTCATTCTTTAGAACCTTCCCAGCGTCGTGCTCCTATGCAAACCCACTTGGAATGTTCACTCCAGATTCTCTGTAATTCATGGAAAATGCAGTTTCCACTTTGCATTTTTCTGCAGGCTGTGTGGATACGAAAGAGGCCGATCTCTATTTCCTCATCGACGGCTCCGGCAGCATTGAGGACAAACACTTTGAGCAAATCAAGGCATTTATGACGGCAGTGATAGATATGTTTAGCATCGGCCCAGGCAAAGTCCAAGTTGGCACTGTGCAGTTTTCAGACACGACGGAAGTGGAATTTAATATCAGTGACTATTCTAATGATGTGAAATTAAAGCAGGCTATTTCTAACATCAAGCAACTCAAAGGTGGCACTTTGACTGGGGCAGCACTGGACCTCATGCTGCAAGTGATCAGGGAGGACAGGAGACACAGGACCACCAAGGTCCCCTGTTACCTCATTGTGTTGACTGACGGGATGTCAATGGATGGCGTTGTGGAACCTGCTGAGAGACTACGGGCTGAACACATCACCATTCATGCAGTCGGCATCGGGGAGGCCAACAAGATAGAACTACTGCAAATCGCTGGGCAAGAGGAGAGGGTTAGTTTTGGGCAGAACTTTGATTCTTTAAAGAGCATAAAAGACGAGGTTGTTCGCAGCGTCTGCAGTGAGAAAGGTAAGCCAAACAGCGAGGCTTTATTCCCTGTACCTCATTCGTGGCTTCAGGTGGACAGATAGCCAGGCTCAGACAAGGAGCGCGGGGACCAGTGGTCTGGCTAACATTTTGCTGACTTCTTTCACAACTGTGGAGGGATTCAGCCCCTCATTTGAAACCCGGAGCCGAGATTGGAGAATCCCTCTACAGACAGCTGCCCTGGGGCCATCCTGGAAGTCAGAAGTGGGAAGGTTGCTAAGAGTGTTGTTGCCTTGACAAAGCCCACTGCTGTGAGGGGTAGGAGGCGCTATATCCTGTGTGTGTGTGCGTGCGCGTGCGTGCGCGTGTACTTGTAGACACACTCACTGAGGCAGGTGAGTACAGTGGAAGAGAAGATGAGCTCTGACTTTAACTAGATTAGGGTTCAACTCACTTCACTACCTGAGCCTTGAACTTGCTCATCTGTAAAATCAGGACAGTGCCTACATCAGAGTATCCTTGTAGGTTTAGTGTCATAAACACCAGCCATTATTTCTCTATGGTGAACGCAGATCTGGTACATATGAAACCCTGGTACATACAGAAACACGAATTTGTATTTTTGTTCTGGCTAAAAACCAAGTAACCAAAAGTTAGGAAGAACAAACTTGCAAATTCGTGTACCTGATTGTTATTTCTCTTATTAACATAGCCACTTACTAATGGAAGATGGTATGTGTTGATGGCTGGTCTTAGCACATGAAAATACTGTCTGCCGAGAGACATGTTAGCTTCTGGATTAGGATAAAGGATGCAGGAGTCAAAGCATCAAAGTCCACACGGCAGCTTTATCAGTGATGGGCTGCCGAACTGGAGTGGTTACTTACTGTCTTCCTGCCTTGGTCCCTTGTGTGTAGGCTTATTGTGAAACTTAAAGGTAATAATGTGTGCGGACACTTAGAAGAGTGCTTGGCCCACGGTCAGCGCTGCATAAAACTTAGCTCTTGTAAAAGTTGGCTGAGGTGTGCCCTGAGGAGAAAAGGAAAAGAATTCTCACTTATTTGAACTTACAAAAGTGACAGTGTGTTGGAATTTTCTCTGAGTCACTCAAGTCAAAAGAAAACTAAGCGAGCCCATAAGCAGGACTCAAAACAAAATCCTAAATCACAATGTAATTGGTTTTTCTTCCTGTTGTGGGCAGTAGCAGCGTGGGGTCTTCAGGATGTCTTAGAAAGAGGACCAGAGTCAGTGTTTCCTGACGTTTCCTGGAGATGATGCCAAGGAGAGTAAAAGGGCTTCAGGAAACATAAGCTGGATTGTAAGTCAGGTCTTTCCAGGGAGGAGGTCATGGACCAGTCTGAAGAGGTGCAGTATGCTTTTTGTAGGTCAGGGAGTTGCATTTCAGAAGCCCAACCCCTGGCACACCCGATGGAGGAGGCAAACTGTGGGCCAGGAAATGGGCCATGAGATGGAGAACAGAGGCAGAAAGACTAAGGAGCCGAGCTGGAGGGCCTAGAAGAAGCCTGACTGGTCTCAGCACAGGTGGATGGAGGGAGACACAGTGTATTGGTTAAGGGGCAGTTTCAGCGGCTCCAGCAAAAGGACCCCACACTACACAACCCAGAATATTGTTTCACTCTTGTGTCGTGATCCAGGGTAAGCTGTCCTGGTCTAGCAACGAGGCTGGTCCATGCACAACAGAGCATCCATCAGTAGATCAAAAGTGGTGCTTCTGTTCCCATCCCATGCATTTGTGGGAAGGGAGATGGGGCCAGTGGAGCAATGGTTTCGTTATTAAGACCCAGAAGTGGCCGGATCACTCCTGCTCAGACCTATTGGCCAGAACATAGTCACAGGGCCACATCTAGCTTCAAGGAAGCCTGGGAAATATAGTCTGTACCTGGGCGACCATCTGCCCAGTTGAAATTTTATTGACATGGAAGAGGTGGGGGAACAGATAGCAGAGGACAAGAAGCAGTCTCTGCTCCAAGTAGAGACAAGAAGGCAGATTCTGTGAATAGTAAACCACATGTATAAGTCTCTTCTTCTGACGTGCGTTTCCTGAAAGAGAGCCTTGCACATTTCACAGCACTGGGGCTTTGCCAAGGACACCAGCATCTTCAGTGACTTCCCTGTTTACAACTTCCAAAATGGCCCCAGGGCAGCGCGGCTCTCCAGTGATGGCCTTAGTGCCCCCTGGTGGGCCTTGTACAAGTTATTAAAAATAGTCAGCATCTTTTAATTCTTCTAGGGCTGATGCTCACTGTTCATTTTCAAATAGTATGGGATAGACTCTGCACATAGTGGGGGGGGCTGGTAAGAAAATGGAGGTGGTAACTAAGAAGATACATGCTGTGTTTACACAGCCTGTAAATATATTATCTTTAGCATGTATCTTCTTAGTCTTAACCCTTTTGTCTATATGTGATATATATAAATAAATACATAGTTGTATTAGTATATTATTAATATACATTAATATATTAATGTATAAACATATGCAATATAAATATATATTTGCCTATATATAATATATATATGCACTATAGTACGTATATGTATATGTATGTATGCATATACACACACCTTCACTATGAGTTATTAACATATTTTATGGCTTATAGAAATTAGTATTCTGTGTGTATATATGTGTACAGATACCTATTTATATATGCATATATATGTCCACTTCCCATCAGTAGGATATCTACAAATTTTATGTATAAATAGGGAAACAGTCCATGTTGAATGGCTACATGCTTACTAATGTCCTTATTACCTCTCGTAAAAGCTTTTGACCCCAATTTCTGATGTTGATTTATAGTGTTTATCAAATCACTTTAAATTATCCCAGAAAATTGTGCTATATAAATATTCCTGGGAACTTTGTGTTTCAAGGAAATACATAAAACCATAGAATATTACTCATATTAGGTCTAAAATTGATTGCTCTTCTCTGATTTCCTTTTTTGATCACCATTGTGTCTTCAACCCAGAGCCTGAAGTTTGCCATTTTGCACACATCAAGAATTATGAGTGAGTGAATTATGAATAAACGCATAATGCATGCATGAAGAAATGAATGAATGAATGCATACTCTGGGAGTTGCGTTTCTTCTTCAAAACTTCTTAGGTCATCTTCAGTGAATTTCTGAGTTAGGGTTCTAGTCAACAGGCTTCTATAAAAGAATTAACACTTTCAGGTGCAACGGCAGTTGCTTGAGTTAATTTTTGATATTTTCTGATTAATGGATTTGTTTCTGCTTTACTATCTGCATGGATCCTGAGAGCCATGCCAACCTGGTTTATTTCTGGTCTTTTTGATTACGTGCAGGATGTGAAGACATGAAGGCTGACATCATATTTCTGGTGGATAGTTCTAGGAGTATAGGACCTGAAAATTTTGCAAAAATGAAAACCTTCATGAAAAACCTATTAGCTAAGATTCAGGTTGGTCCAGACAAAGTCCGGATTGGTGTCATCCAGTTCAGTGACTATAATAAGGAAGAATTCCAGCTTGACAAATACTTCACACAAGGAGAAATTTCTGACGCCATAGACAGCATGTCTCACATCGACCAGAACACTTTGACTGGAAGTGCACTAACCTTCGTAGCTGAATACTTCACCGAGCCCAGGGGGGGCCGTCCCACAGTCAGAAAGTTCCTCATCCTCATCACAGATGGAGAAGCCCAAGATGAAGTCAGAGACCCCGCGAGAGCTCTTCGGGACAAAGGTGTGACCATCTTCTCCGTGGGGGTATACGGGGCCGTTAGGTCTCAGCTGGAGGAGATCAGTGGGGACAGCAGCCTGGTCTTTCACGTTGAGAACTTCGATGATCTAAAGGCGATAGAGAAAAAGCTTGTCTTCCGTGTGTGTGCTCTTCACGGTAAGGGACCCTGTCACCCTTCAGGGCTCAAGGGTGGGTGCGGACGACTTCATAGTGGGGTGGACAGTGCCTGGCACTCTGGACTTCAGTCTTAACTTTTGGTCTTCTCTATATTGAGTAAAACACTCATGACTCATGATTTCTAGGGATATTCCAATTTTGTCCACTAACTTGTCAGCGAAGTAGTCTGACTTTGATGACTTCAAATATATTCCAAGAGGGTCTCAGATTTATATATGTAACTTCCAGCTCTTTAATACCTGTGTACCTAGAGTTCTCCAGAGCCAGTTTTTAATCCCAGCTGACTCCTCCAAATTGTTTCTTGGCTGCCTATAACCATTGTTAAGCAGTAACTAATTAGAGATACAAATTCATCATCCTGCTAGTTAAGTACAATATCCTAAGTGCACTCCAGCCGCCCCAGCAAAGTGCTCTGTGTTTTAAATATATGGTGTGTGTTTTCATTACTTTGTGTTAGCCTTCTTACCCTTAGTCAGCTTAGTATTTCACATGTGCCTGTTCATGCATCCATCTCTTTGGAAAACTTTACCTTGTTACTTTAAAAAAAAAATAATTGCTTGGGAGTGAGGCGTCATCCTTTTTATCTGACAAACTGTAGCGCTTTTTGAATTATATTGAACAACCTGCAGTTTGAGCCCATCAATTTTTTTTCTTTTCTTTTTGTTTTGTAGAGGGGGAGGTAGTTAGGTTTTGTTTTTTTTTTTTTTTAAGTGGAGGTGCTGGGGATGGAACCCAGGACTTGGTGCATGATAAGTGTGTGCTCTACCACTGAGCTATGCCCTCCCCACAAGCCTGTCAATTTTAATGGTTCTTGAGTGAGAACTTGCTATAAATCCCCATTTAAAAACACCTGTGCTTTTAAATCTATCACATGTTGTGATCTGTGTTTTGGACACCACGAAGGGAACAGACCAAAGCATTAGTACGTTTCTTGTATGCTGTTCCTCTGGCAACACAGAGACCTCCTTTGGACTTCGTTCTTCAGAATCCCGTGTGCGAAAACTTCAGAAAGTTAACAAATTAAGATGACTCGGTATAAACTCTGAGTTTCAGGCAATAGCTCTAAGATTTCCCTTGTCACAGCTTAACTGGAAGTTTTTTCTTCCTCCAAAAAGTGATTCCGAGCCTCTCGGTGCTGTGAAACTTTAGCTGACTTGTGTATGAGCTCACCTCATACATGTTTATCAAGTCGACTCATTAAATGTTCACCCAGTGGTGACTAGTCACCACATCCCAGTGGGTCACGGCCCCAGTTTCCTCCCGACACAGCCTGGGCTCTTCCACAGTGGATGAGACTTGGAATTTTGAGACCTCGTTGCCAGAAATAAGGATTGGAGGTAGGGTAGGCAGGTGGGAGGGGGCAGGAAGGGAGCCCTGGGGAGGCACATGCTTAAGTGACTGAGGGGAGGAAGGGGTGGAAACTGGCTGACACTTTGGAGATCCTGCAGCGTGGCCACTTGGCTTCTCACGTGGAGGAGGGGTCGGGGCTAGGATGAGGCGATAGGAGTTTAGCTCTGCTGCCACGTGGGGCCTTTCTGACTTTCACTTCGGGAGGTCAGGGGAAGGAACACAGGTAGATGTGAAGAGGCCCGGTGCACCTGGGAAAGCTTCTCTCCCAGAAGCCGAGCAGGTGAGACTCCCAGTGTGTACGCTGAGCCCCGGAGTCCTTCAGCACTGCAGGTTGGTCGGACCAACACTGGTCACGTGTTACCACTCTACTGACACTGAATGACTTTCTGACATGCCCTGCCGGTTGAAAGACCGCTCAGCAAAAGGCATGGCACGTCCCAGTGAGATTTAGCAGAACAGAGTGGGGAGGCATGGGGACCACCGGTCATGGGGTCCTGTACATTAAAGGTGCCGATGTCCTTGGAATCATGATCCGGGCAAGTGGGACATCTCAGAGCCTCCTCTTCTTTCTCCAAAACATGGCAACAGCCACCGCTGAGCCAAGAGTCGCTCCTGGCCCGTGGTAGGCTTGTGGCAGATGTCAGTTGGCTTCCCTCCTGAGCGGCCTGGGTAGAACCTGCTGCAGAACAGGTTTGTGATGCCTGACCTCTTCTCCTTTCAGATTGTAAAAGGATTAAGCTGTTAGACATCGTGTTTGTGCTGGACCACTCAGGCAGCATCAGCCACCAAGACCAAGAAAGCATGATGAACCTCACCATCCACCTGGTGAAGAAATCAGATGTGGGCCCGGACCGAGTTCAGTTTGGAGTGCTCACGTACTCTGACCAGCCCAAGGTTCTCTTCTACCTCAACACGTACTCGAACAGGTCTGCAGTTGTTGAGCATCTGAGGAGGCGCCGGGACACCGGCAAGAGCACCTACACCGCCCGGGCCCTGGAGCACGCCGGCAGCCTGTTCACAGAGGAGCATGGCAGCCGCATCAAGCAAAACGTGAAGCAGATGCTGATCATCATCACGGATGGGGTGTCCCACGACCGAGACCTGCTCGGAGACGTGGCCTCGAAGCTGAGGCGCCAGGGCATCGTCATCTATGCCGTGGGTGTAGGACAGGCCAACCAAGAGGAGCTCGAGATGATAGCAGGGGACAGAAATTACACTGTCCATGTGAGCGACTTCAACAAGCTGAAGGATGTCTACCAGCCTCTGCAAGACAGCATGTGCGCCAACACAGGAGAGGGTAAGTGCTTCCAGTGCCTCTTCTGGGGTGGCAGTCAGTTTAAGCAGAAAGTAAATGATGAGTCTTGGCTTCCCGTTACCTGGGTATCGCAGGCTGCATCTTTCTCTGCTCAGGCTTCGTGTTTCTCATCTCTGGAAGAAATGCACTGATGAAGCAGGAGTCGACAGGTCCTTCGCCACCATGGTGTGCCTTGAAGAGACGCAACACGAAGGTTTCAGAAGCGTTCCTTGCTCTCTGGCCTCGCTGTTGCCCTTTTCTTGGCAGGAAGAACCTTTCTTAGGGTCGTATTCACCTCTGCTCATTCACGGTTGCCTGTGCCGCTCCGTTTGCGTGATGGTGTCAGAGCAACCACGGGGCATCAGTTTTAGGCCAAACTCAAGTTCAGAGTTTCATGGTTTCAACAGGTAGACTTGTCTTCAAAGATCCAGCGCCGTCTAAGTGGGATTATCAACATCCTGTAGGGCCTTTGGACGTCCAAGTGGTGTGATGAGTTTTTCTGAATAAGGGCCGCGAGTGCAGAAGGGAGGAATGGGAGCTGAATGTGGAGTCATAGAGATGGGGAGGGAAGGGGCCAAAGCCGACTCCATGGGATACCGCTGGGTTAGGATGGGCTGGAGGCATCACATCTGAGTGAGGAGACGGTGAGATCTGCCACCTGACCTTGAAGCAGGGGAGACTGACGGGTTACCCAGGAGGGCGGCTGTCCCTCCTCAGAAGGCTGGAATCCTTGCCGGCTATTGGCCCAGCCCTCCCGACCTGGGCAACGCATCAGCCAATCAGCTAGCTTCCTGTCTTCCCTCCTCCCCTCCTTCTGCCGACTTCCTGCTCTTTTTCCTCTCCTCCTCCCTCCCTTCCTCTGGTCCAGTTTGCAGCCTGCTTTTGTATCCAGCAGAAATCGTGTTTCTCGGACTGGCGTTAACCCACTCTCATCTCTGTGAGACAGTCCAGCCCCAAACAAAACCTCCCCCAACGCCTGTGTCAGCCTAGCGTTTGCTGTGCTGGCTGCGAATATGTCTGACCTCCGCAGCTGGACCTTACTTAAGTCAGTAATAAATCCAGCTCCTTGGTTTCAGATGCTGCGTGATGGTTGCTTGTTCAGGGACACGTGACTTTTCCCGAGGCAGTGGGACCACCTCAGTTCTTAACCTGTGCCACCCTTGCCATCTGTCCTGCGCCTTCCAGTCCCTCTTTAACATGGAGCAATCTTTCTGACACACACTGAACTATGTCACCGATCTGCTCACTGGTCACAGTGTCTAAACTCTCGAGCTCCATGTAGCCCCCCACTGACGTTTCCAACCTCATCTATTGCCCCACCCCCCACAGCCTCTCCAGCCATTCTGAAATCCCCACATCTTCCAGCACTGTTCCACCCACCACGAACACACCAGCCCACCACTTCCCCTGGCTACGTCTAGTCACATTTCAGCCTTTGTTTGCCCGTTTCCTGACCCAGCACCTGGCAGGGTCCGCACTGTGTCCCCCAACTCCTGCACCTCCTGCTTCTCCAGGTGGTTGCACTTGACACATGTTTGCTGTTTCCTCACCTGCACCTGTCACGAGACTAGGAGCTCCCTGGGCAGGCTTGGCCTCTTGTTGGTCCCTGGGTCCCCACCAAATCTTAGGATGTTGCTGGGACTTCCGTCTTTTCCTCGGAGTGCAGGACTGTTTTCTTCTCATCCTCTGGACCTGCCCTTTTGGAGGTAGATGCTAAGATGGAGTCTGGGATGCAAGATGTTTATTAGGGACGACAGAAAAGGGGGAAGCAGAAGAGGCAGAAGTCAGCGACGCATGTCCCGACGTCTCGTTACCTTCCCTGATCACTTCCGGCTGCACCATCCCAGCCTTTGCACTTGATTAGAGCTGGGTGTGGGAGATCATCACCAGATTACGGGCCGTTTCACACTGGCCTTCAGGGAGATGACCCTGTGCCCGGTTTACTAGCTGAGAGCACTTGCCCCGTGAAGTTTTAATATCTGGGCTATGGTATTATTAAAACAACTTGTAGTAGAAAAAATCCTGGATGTAAGGGTAAAGGGGATCCAGGTACCAACTCAACCACATAGTAGTTATGTATTCTGAGGCAAGTTCCTTACCCTCTGGATCCTATTCCTCTTGCAGGGGTTGGGAATTAGGTCTATTCATTTATCTATCTGTCTGTCTATCTATCTATCTATCTATCTATCTATCTATTTATTTAAAGGAGGTACCAGGAATTGAACCCAGGATCTTGTTCATGCTAAGCACACACTCTACTGCTGAGCTATATCCTCCCCCTAGATATTTTTATTTTATTTTGTTTGTTTGTTTATTATTTTTTTGATGGAGGTACTGGGGACTGTGAAACTACTCCTAAGTTGTACCCTGCTCCTCCCAATTCTATTTCTGTGCCTAAAATCAGAATAATTCCTCCTAAGGTGGCTGTGAATATTAACCATTGTTGTATGCTGGAAATGTTTTTTAAATGATCATTCTCAGCACAGATGTAAAGTGGTGGCACTAATAGGAGCAGGATTACTATCGGAGGGCAGTGGTACCATTGCCGTGACTCGGGTGAACCTCCCAGGGTGGGTGTGTAGAAGGGATTCCTCACCTTCGCCGTGACCTTCTAGTGGACATATTCAGGAGTCAAATTTCTTACTTTCCTTCTCAGAGTAGCTTTCATCATCCTTTCAAATGAATTGTGTAAATAATTAAGATTTGAAACAAAATTGACCCTCTTTCTCCTCCCTGCTGTCTTCCCCTCTCTTTGAGAGCCGTTGGTGGTTCTCTCCTCTGTCCACTTATTTGCCACGAATGTGAGGATTTAGCAAAGCAGTTTAACTATTAGAACAAAGGGAAAATTTACAGTGATCCCTAAGGACAGTAACTGATTTCTTGTTCTTCGATTGCAGTCTGTCAAATTCCAAAAGCCGACGTGATCTTCTTTTGTGATGGCTCGACCAGGGTGTCCAATACAGAATTTGTTACCATGACAACTTTCTTGTCGGACTTAATGGATGATTTTGACAGTCAGTCTCAAAGAATGCAAATTGGGATGGCTCAGTTTGGGGTCCGCTACCAAGAAATTATTGAGTTGCAAAATTCTCTGACTCCAGCCCAGCGGAAGGCTCAGATTCAAACCATCACCAAGAGTGGCGGGCATCCGAGGATGGACTTGGCCCTTAAACAAGTGGGTGTTATGTTTGAGCCATCTGCTGGGAGCAGAAGAAACGCTGGTGTCCCCCAAATTTTGGTTGTCATCACATCTGGGGACCCCACCTACGATGTGGCAGCTGCAGCGAAGACCCTGAGAGAAGACGGAATTTGCATTCTGGTTTTGGGCATCAGAGATGTTCATAAGGAACAGCTACTGCCGATAACGGGCAATTCTCAAAAAATCATCACTTTTCAAGACTTTGATAAGCTGAAGAAGGTGGACGTGAAGAAAAGAATGGTCCGTGAAATCTGCCAGAGTTGCGGGAAAACCAGTAAGTGTCCCCTGACTCTTTCCTTGTTTTTATTCAGCAGTAGTTCCCAGTTGTCTGCTTCCCGAGGAGACTCGAGTCTAGCAGAGCGCAGTGTACAATGGTGCGCAGTGCGAATAGACATCTCCGCTGTTTCCAGGCAGTCTGGGATCAGCCAGCCTCCCCCAGACCCAGAGGCAAGGGTGCAGAGGCTGGAGGAGGCCTGGGTGATGGCCTCTGGTCCGCCCTGCCCCTCTCTGCAACCCAGTGTCTATACAGGTCTTAGTCCCTGGAACTCCTCTCCTATTTCTCCCCTCTCCACTTCCAGAAGTCTGAGAACAAGGTCTTTCATCCCATAGGAAGTAAGTAAAAGGAGCATTTGCTGATTGGAAGTTTGACTATTTTAACTTTGTGAAACCAGCTTGTCAGGGACTCAGTGTACATGCATGTGTGTGTCCGTCCATGGGAGTACATGTCTGTCTCTTAATGATGGCATTCACCTAATCATAACATAGTAAAGATCTCACTTATCCTTAGGGATTATTTAATTTCCAGAGGGCCCCAAATGCCAGTGGCTGCAAAGGTGAGGAGGGTAGTGGAAGTGAGGCAAGGGGACAGGGAGAGAGGAAATGAATGCTGAGCCCTGGCCCGTCTGATGGGGATGTCACCCTTCCGCTCCAGCTGAGGGCCCCCATGTGGGACTCACGTTCTGTGCATCTGGGGCTGGGGGCTGGGAGGACAGAGCCCCAGGAAGCAGCAGTGAATGATAACACTTTGTGGAATTTGCACAACATGAGGAAATGCCCCAGGGTGCGTCTGGTTCTTGACTTGTTACGGTTGAAGCCACTTCTTTTACACAACATTGTGGTTCTTCTGAGCCCTCCGTTGGGGTGCTCACCGGGGAGCAGATTACAGTGGTGGAAAGAGCCCTGGCGGGGGCTGGAATCAGGAAGCCAGGCTTCCAACTCTGGTACAGCGGCAGCAACCTCCACGAGTCACTGCCCCCTCGACGTCTGGACGGGCTCAGGGGTGACCAGGTGGCGACTTGCAGTCGAGTTGTGTTGGTCCTGTCTGGTGTGGACAGCCTGTGGAATTAGTTGGCTGCTTTTGCATATTGGAGATTTTCCACTGAAATGTAGATTTCCCCAGCAGGGATTGGGGGTGCAAAGGGATAAATTGGGAGTTCGAGATTTGCAGATATTAACCACTGTATATAAAACAAACAGCAGCTTTCTGCTGTATAGCATGGGGAACTATATTCAATGTCTCATAGTAATCTATAATGAAAAAGAATATGAAAACAAATATATGTACATTCATGTATGACTGAAGCATTGTGCTGCACACCAGAAATTGACACAACATTGTCAACTGGCTACACTTCAGTAAGAAAAAAGCAATTGTATGAAGTTGGAAAACAAAACAGACAAAGAAAGAAATGTAGGTTTTAGGCTTCTCTTTGAAAAATTGGGCAGTGTGACCGCACTGGGCCCCCTTTCCCGCCAGCAGCACTCGGCCGGAGTTAACAGTGAGCAGACAGGTTGCTGCTCTGTTTTCATCTCTCACTCCCTGCCCACGAGACTCGTTTCCGTTACCCTCCTGGGCGTCACAGCCATCTGAGTTGGTGACCTCTGCGTTAAATAAACCCTACGGACAATTCAAATAGTTACTATGTTATAATCCTATGAATCAGAATATGTCATCATTAAAAGAAGAAAACACACATGCATTCGCGTGCGTGTGCATACGCACACATACACGCACACGTGCACACATACACATACTCACACACACGGGAAGCCAGCCACTGAGAATGAGACTAGACTGTGATCAGACTTCAAATAGCTACTGAAACTTAACAGCATTTGCAAGGGGACTGAGGAAACACCATGTTACATCTTGATCGAGCAGCCAGTATCTTCCTTCTTGGATGCTTTGGGTGCCAGGGACCCTCCAATCCCGGGCCATGACCGCTTCCCTTTCTCTTGCCATGTCTATCCTACCTTGCTTCCATCTGCTCATTAACTCAACCTTGTTTCCCGTGGTCTCCAGACTGCTTTCTGGACGTCGTGGTCGGCTTCGACATTTCCACACACCTACTGGGGCAGCCGCTGTTCCACGGCCACCCCCGGCTGGAATCCTACCTCCCAGGCCTTTTAGAGGACATCTCCTCCATCGGGGGAGTGAGCTGTGGGGCAGGTGCAGAGGTGCAGGTAAGCATGGCCTTTAAGGTGAACAGTGAGAAGAGTTTCCCTACCAAGTTCCAAATCTACCAGAAAACAATATGGGAAAACCTCCTGCAAGAAACCGTCTCTGGGCCAACTCACCTGAACGCGCAGTTCCTGCAGTCCATGTGGGACGTGTTTAAGGATTCATCTTCATCCCGAGGACAGGTACCCATGTCACCTTCTAGCTCCCACCCCCACGTGTTTCTTCTCCCAGTGGTATATTGTGTTCTCATGCCATCTCCTCCTACGCTTTGCTCTTTCTCTAGGTGCTACTCATCTTTTCAGATGGTCTTCGGGGGTGAGAGCAAAGCAGTGCTTGAAGATCAATCGGACAGGCTCAGAGAAGCAGGTATGTTTGAAATGGAAAATGTCAGTGACGAAGCTTGAAAGGTGCTGGACAGCTCCCTACCTTCCCAGGTGCTCTGGAACTGGGAGCAAACGCTACTGGTGCCCAACGCCCTGGACCAGCTGCACCTCATCCCCCAAATGCCGCAGATGCTACAGCCACGTGCTTACGTCTGTGACCATCTACAGACGCGTGCCCTGGACTGATGCCAGTGTGACCTGATACTTGGAAAGGGGTGGGTTACACCATGTCCCACCTAGGAGGCAGGGGACCGGGAACAATCAGTGCAGAGGGATACAAAAGCCCCCCGTGCCTTTAATGGGTCCACTCTGGTACAATTTACGCTCCAGGGTCCCTCGTGAATCAGACCAAGGTGAGGACTTTAATGAGACGCATCCTTGCTCCCAACTTCCCTTCCCTTTACTGTTTCTCTCTCTCCCTCCATAAGTCACAGGCACCCAGATTCCTCTCTCAGATTCTGCTTGTAGGGAACCTGACCTGAGACACTTCCCGCTGTGTCTGATTTTCAGTGTGAAAGTTAGCCACATGGACTTTTAAAAGCACTCGTCACTCCACACCCCCATCCGGGTCATAGCTTCAGACTGAGCTGGAAGCTGAATGTAGAGGTTAGGAGTAGTGTGCAGAGACAGGAGGCGCGGCTGGCGGGCAGATGGGGCGCGTTACTGGAAGCTTCCTTGGTGGAGGCTTGCTGGCCTCAGGGTCCAGTTTCCACCCATGTCCTGCTTGGTGGCTGGGCTGTGCCACCCTCCCTTCTCAAAGCCCCTCGACACCTGCCGCCATGCTTGGAACCTCGAATCCCTTCTGACCCGCGGGGCTCTGTGGGGTCTGGCCCCGCCCCCCAGCCCAGCCTTCCCTCCCTGCTCACACTCAGTGGCCCAGCATCAGAGCCTTCTCCACTATCCCTCCAGTGTCCTCCCAGCCTCGTCCTCCCAGACCTTGCCCGTACTCTTTCTCTGTGTGCAGAACCCTCCCCACTCTCAGCTCCCCTGCAAGTTCTTCTCGCCACCTGCCGTCTCTGGTTCTTTCTCTTGCCGACTTCCATTCATCCTTTATGACCCGCTTAGACATCACTTCTTTGCAGAAACCTTCCCTGAGCTTCTGAAACTGAGTTAGGAGCATCTCCTGCAGACTTCCGTAGCCCCCTGAGCTGCCCTCCCGAGCACCTCTCTGCCTCTTGCCTGCTCTCCTATGAGACCACACATCTCCAGAGAGAAGGAGACGGCCGTCTTCTTCACCTTGTATCCCTGGTACAGAGATTAGTACATAACAAGCTCCTGTAGGCAATGTCTTGTTTCATGGAAAGAGGGAAACAGTAAGTGGACCAGTCAATGAATTAATAGGTGAGGGAGGGAGGGGATGCATCAGTGAATGACTGAATTCCGGGGCACGGCCAAGAGTTCAGCGGAGACAGGAGTCACCCTGGCCTCTCCTCGCCTGCAGCCCCAGAGCCTGGCTCCCCGGGTTTCTGGCAGTGGAGACGGCTGGAGAGCTCACGTCAATTTCCATTCAGAAAAATTCGGAAGAACTCCGAAGATGAACGATACCTTTTTAAAAAAATTGCTTTCAAATGCCCAAGAATCGCATTCAAATTGGTGGCGAGGTGTTCAGCACGGTTTTCTGCTAGTGTTTTTCTTGTAAGGTTGGTAGTTTGTCTTGAATACTTTTCCTGGGCAGATTTCGCGTCACAGGCAGGAACCAGGGCCAAACGTCTGCTGAAAATGCAGGCAGAGCTGTTGCTGGGTTCTCCGCATGTCAAGAACACTTCTTCTTTTAATTTTTTCCCCTTTTTGATTCTTTGAATAATGCTCACCAGGTGGAAATACGATGGGCTTTCCTTCTTATCCATGTACAGTTCCTTAGGTTTTTATCTGTTTTTTTTTTTATACTGTTTTTCCTTTAAAAACAAAGTTTTTTTTTCTTTTTTTAAAATGAAGAACATACTCTTTTTTGTTGTTGTTGGGGGGAGTAATTAGGTTTGTTTGTTTATTTATAATGGAGGTGCTGGGGATTGAACCCAGGACCTCATGCATGCTAAGCATGCGCTCCACCCCTGAGCTCTACCCCCCTCCCCCCCCCATCTGTTGTTTTCACTGCCTAGGACTTGATGCTCTGCTGGTGGTCTCCCTAAACACAACTGCCCATGATGAGTTTTCCAGCTTTGAGTTTGGAAAAGGATTTGATTACAGGACTCCCCTGACCATTGGCACGAGAGAGCTGGGCAAAAAGTTGTCGCAGTATCTGGTGAGTTGTTGAATAAAAACCTCCATAATTCACCGAGCCACAGAGGCAAGATTGGACTCTTCATGCTTTTTTTTTTTATTGAGGCATGTCAGTTTACAATGTTGTGTCAATTTTTTTTTTAATGCTTTCTCTGCTTTCGGAGGTAATTAGGTTTGTTTGTTTGTTTGTTTATTAATGAGGGTACTGGGGATTGAACCCAGGGCCTTGTGCATGCTAAGCCTGGGCTCTCCCACTGAGTCCTACCCTCCCCCTCCAAAACTGGAATCTTGATAAGTATTTCCCGAGACTACTTGGTCTGCCCTCAAGGCAGTACGTGGTCCTTAGCCCATGAAAAAGTGTGAAAGACCACAGCATCGCCGTTGGTTCCCCCAAGCCCTTTCATCCTTTGTCATCTCGCCAAATGAATGCACGGGGAACTCAAAAACCCAGCCAACCCCGAATCAGACAAAAAGCCCCCAATGGATTATGCCACAGAAATCCCGAGAAATCAGAGCCTGTCAACCAGGAACCAGTCAGTCTGGTGCACACCCGGCCTGTGGCCATCTGTGTGGCGAGCGCCCCTTCTATAAATAGAGGTCCTGTCCTTGGAGAAGTTATGTCACCAGTGCAGTTGCTAACCTGGTCCCCTCTCTTTAGTGTTAAGTCACTGAACTGGCTGCCTCCCCTCCCCCCATGGAAAAGGATGGGCTTGTAGGTGGTGAATTACCGTTTGTGTGAATTGGATTC